TATACTTGCAATTTACAAGAAAAAAAATCATATTTTCAAAACTAATCATTATTGCGACCCAAGTTTTTAAAAAACAACATAGAATTTCCAAAAGCAATAAAATATTGTTATGACGTCACTAGTGGGGTGGCGACAGTAGCTTTCTTTTGGATCGAAATTTGGAACGGTTCTGAGATTGCGCAGAACTGCTTGCGCACAAAAAATAATTGGGGACTGTTCTGTACTAGTTCTGAACCGATTCGGAACCAAAAAAACCAAAACACGCCGCAAATCACAAAATTCTGAAACAGTTCCTCCTTCAGAGCAAGAATTGAGAGAACTGTTCTAGACCATCCCAGAATTGTTCTAAAATAGTTCTAGATAAACCAAAACACTGTCAAAACAGTTCGATTATACGATTCTGAAATAATGAAAACGCGTTTTTCAATATGCGCATGTGCAGAATGATTCCGAACTAGTTTTGAGTGAAACCAAAACAAAGCTAGTGACGACAGACTCATTACAACTGTCTCCTGATTCGACGCGATTGTTGTGGGAATCCCCACACACATCACTTGACATCACGTTACACGAAAGGCAAAGAGCACTTCACAACATACAAAAATGGGACTGTTAGATGTTGTATGTAATTACTCAAATGAACCAATAATAAGGTCACTGTCGATTTTTGAAAGAATATGTTATACTATATAATATGTATTAATTTTTTTAGAATTTATTAAATTGTAGTAAAATAAGAATATCAGAAAACCCCCTAGAATTTCCCTATATCCCTAGACAATTTTTTTTTTGCATATTTATCCCTAGAATTAGGGGCAAATCCCTAGAGTTGGCATCACTGGACGGGAACCTACTACTCTTACCAGCTTCGAAAGATGAAATATCATTTTTTTCGTAATTTATTTTGAAAAATCATTAATTGGTGATATAGTCGTATTCACGATAGAGTTTAAATTTTGACCGTTATTTTCACCAGTTGAAAGTAAATAAAATCCCTAGATCTGTCCCTTTTTCTGTCAACCATCAAATAATGATACATGACATTTCGATTTGACATAAAATTATCAGATTAGGATCTTAGAATTTTGAATTTCGAATTTTCGCGCGAGATCGTTTTAGTTTATTGCCGTTTTCTGCATTATTTTTTGATATTTTGTTATATTCTGAATCGGTTTTATGGTTTTTTATGTAGTGTTCTGTGCCTTTGTGTTTCGGTGTTGCGTTTCATTTCTAACCTGGTTTTAGTTCGGATTTAAGTGTTTTGTCTTTTTATAAGTGTTCACATTGGACTCTATCAAGACTTATCTGGTTTATTTTATCTTCTTCAGGTAAGTTAAACCTAATACTTACACAATATTACGATTTTAAAAGTGCCGTTTTCTTATTAGCGATGACAGAAAAGTCCCCGGACAAGTCCGATCGTACCAGGGTCCTGGAGACTTTGCTCTGTTCCAGCATCTGAGATGATTTAGGTGTGAAGAAAATACGGTAAAATTGGCAACTTTAAATTACCACTGTCATAATTCATCGCCAATAATTTTCAGCGAACAGCAATAAACCTTGGAGATGCTTCTTCTTTACGAGACGAATCTTTTTTTTTTCTAAGCAAGAGGGAAAGTGACAAGGTAGTGTTTTCAAATTTAGAAAAAATAAGCAAATAATCCTTTTGTAGAGACCAATAATTCATGGGAACCCTGTGGCTCAGCAATTTATACAACTCGTATACAACCATTTCAAGGTGTCTCATGAAGATCAAAATCCCATAACTGTAAGTTAATAACAATAAAGTTAGTCTTGATTGATCATAGAAACGTTTTCGTCTTAATCTCAGTAAATGTAGGTACAAGTTTTGGAAGGGGATATTTTCGAACCGAGTGGCTTTTGTTAGTTTTTAATAAATAAATTGTAATTTACTGTTCCATTGCCTTTCTAGGAGACAGCTAAGGTTTTGAAACTAAGTGAGACCACTGTCTATAAATATAAGGATGGTTCAGTTGAGTCTGAAATTACCCCTGTCACGCGGAAGCGTAAGAAGTTGCAGACAACTGATTCAAGTGGAAGCGTCAAACAGACTATTCGATTAGAGATATACAAAATGTATACAGAGAGTAAGTTGATGTTCTACTTTGAACATAGAGTTGTTTCAATGTTACTTCATATTAACATTACCAGTAGATTATTCCGAAAGAATACACCTGATAACATTGGAACTTCTCAGATCAAATTAAACTGTTTTTCATAGTTTAATACTATTTTTTATTTCAGGTCAACACAAATTAAGATGCTGCTAGGATTTCTTTCATTCCATAATTTCATGATATTTTTTAGAATTGTTTTCTTGCTTTTCAATAAAGGTACCTGAGTTATTGAAGTCTTTCATAAGGATAAGTATTCATATTCCCCTCTTTGACGTACCTACACAGTTTGGGTTCAGATATTTGCAGAGCTTCTGTAACTTCTGCTGCATGCTTTATGCTTTATCCTGTGTGTTGGGTTTATTGTTTTTCAGATGTTGAATTGAATACAATTTGTGTTGTCATATTTTCTAGTGGACTTTGGTACCTCTAAACATGGTATCACTAATTAAACTTCCTATTTAATGTATCATCTAATATTATGCTTGTATAAATTATTTAGAGGGGCAATGTCCCATCTGTCGCCCACCTCTTACTGTTATTCTTCCTTTTTTATATTATTTAGCAGTTTTTGGTAAAAAACCCATTACTACACAGGTAATTGATTAATTAATAGTTAAATTTAATTATGCACGTCCACTTGTGTCAGTTGTCTCTTGTGTGTGATGTTTGTACCTGCGACGAAGCAGCACTGGTGATGACTTAAGGCCGGAAGCACTCGGCGGATTTTCTTAATAAATTATTACACAGAATGCATACTCCTCTGTTCTTCAATTATAAGTTTAAGCCATTTCACTAACACAAACTAGACTGGGTAATTTTAGTTCATTTTTGGGTAGTAGTCTTTTTGTTATAGGGACTGGTGTTAAATAGTAATACTAAGTTACTTTGTTCAATTACCTTTAAGAGTTACGTTATAATGGTGACAATGGTGTCACCAGCAAATTCCATAAGAATACACTCGGTGTCATTATTGACGAAAGTCTCAAAGCTAATTGAACAAGATATACTAACTAAAATCAGTAATATTTGCTGTTGCTACAGTACTACAATATTTAAACAAGCATTTTTCGTTTTTAGAATTGCATATGTTACCCTTAAGACTGTAAGTGATAGGATGAAAGAAAGTGAAATTTATTACGGTTCCCAGTCAAGTTTAGGCAGGGTTTTGCTCACGTTAGGATTTACCTTTAGAAAGGATGATCCAAGAAGAGCCCTCATGGAAAAGCCTGATGTAAGCCACATGAGAAGAGTTTTTGGGTAGAAATTTTAGTACTGTATAATTTTATTACTGGAAAATTTGAGTAGAAATTTTAGTACTGTATAATTTTATTAATGGAAAATTTGAGTAGAAATTTAAGTACTGTATATTATTATTGGAAAAATTTGGGTTCATTTATTTAAAATTAAATATGTATAATATGTGTGGAAATACTGCAGTTGTTTCTCTCTTTTGCAAGTAAACCCCCTTCAGCATTTAATTCTGTAGCTACCCAAGGAAATAACTAGCATCAATAAACCGCTCGCATATACCATCTAACCTTTAAAAATCAACAGAGTACTTGGGCGGCCAGCTACAGCAACAACTATTAGAAAATATTACGTTTTTTCTATTACAGATGTTTAATATTACTAGGCAGGATTTTAATAACTTGACTTCCTTTAAAGAAATTAAAAATAAATCTGGAATGCATATCATTTTCCTAAATACGACCCTGTCGTTTATCCCAGCTGGAGGAATGAAAACGCTTACGCATGCTGGCAACCTAAAGAAAAAAAAAACTAGATATGTCAACGCGAACTGTCAACTTCACTTTCTATCGTGATTACGACTATATCTCCAAAATTACTACATTTAACTATAGGACATGTAACATATATCAGGGATCAAATTTAATGTAGAATCCAAAAATATATTTTAAAATGGGTCATTCCATTTAAGAAGAAAAGTTAAACTTCTTGCTATATTTTCTAAACCTGCCTTTCCATTTTCTTTTAAATAAATGCTCCTAATTCCTCATAAAAATCCCAACAACTTTTATATTTACCATTTTTTTGTACCTCTTCAATTAACAGGTATATAAGGTAGAAAGCACTTTCGTTGGATAACCTTGTACAGTGCTGCACATGATCATTTATTACTGCGCTAGTAGGGTAATAACATTCGACTGTATCTAGAGATTCAAAAATGCAAAACTTTACTTGACTCTACATTGTTTTGTTGAATTTTAGTATTGAGCCTCTGTATTCTCAGCTTTGGCTTAATATTATTACTGTTGAGAAATTAGTTTTAGTTCAGTAGTTGGCTTTGTCAACAAGATATATTGTAAAATCTTGGACAATAAAGCACATTTTCTATCTATCTACGTTAAGAATGTTAAATGTAACTATCTGATATGTATATAGACTTAAGCCATATATTTTGTATTTTTCCAATTCAATCCAGTTTAATCATTGTAAATTTGCTGAAAATGATGAGACTCATTACCGTACTAGTGATGTAACGAGCTCATTACCCATTTTTATCCAAAATATTTGTTGCCCTGGCAAGAAAATATCCCACCATTGATTTTCTGTTGTAACTCAAAAGGACGATGACATTGTTGTGTTAAAAACCCAAGTCTAATCAATTTATGACTTTTGTGATCAAACGGTTCTAAAATGTCCTACATCACACGTGCTCCAAAAGGTATTATAACACTCTACACTGATGACTATTGAGTTACCTTTGCAGCACTTGTAATGTTACTAACTAATATCACTCTATTTTTAATACTTAAAAATTTTGAGAACAATGAGATTCAAAGAAAGAAAAATTCGAGTAGACTATTACAATTTGCTTATTTTATAATCACCCCTGCTCACTTTTTGTATGGGTATTTCAGGGTGCTTTTTCTTCTGATGCTTCTGCATGGTGGTACGATCATGATAAGCATTGCCACAGAACATACACTGGAAAGGTTTTTCACCTATAAAAAACCACAATTTATATAAAAACTGAAATATGTCAATTTCCCTACCTGTGTGTGTTCGCATATGAATCTCCATAACATGCTGAAACGGAAAAGTTTTATCACAAATATCACACTTAAATGGCATTTTCCCCGTATGCTGGAACATATGGACTTTAAGGTGAGCAGTTTGCTTAAAAGATTTTCCGCACGTTTCACAAGCAAAAGGCCTTTCGCCCGTGTGTATTCTGTAATGGACTTTTAACTGAGTTTGAGTTCTTGCAGTTTTACCACAAACATCGCATCTAGAATAAGAACTATTTTCATTAAACAAATAAAATAAATGGATTTTATGTTTTTCATTTCACCAACATTTTTTTATTTCATAATTTAGAAAATTAATAAGCCCAAGTACAGTAGAACGCCGGTTATCCGAGATAATGTGGGGGGAACCCTGCTCGGGTAACTGAAAACACGGACACAGTTTACACGGATTTACATAAATTTACATGTTAAAAGAGTCCAAAAATATAAATGGGGAAACCACTCACACGAGCCGAGATTTTAAATGGAAATATGTATCTACAGGGAGTTTGTTTATAACTGGAACTTTTTTATTATTGAAAATAGAGTGCATGTTTAAATTGGAAAATTTCTTGGTAAATTGCAACAATCTTAATCATACAGGGGGCTCCAAAAAAGTAATTTTTTTAATGGATCGCCCTGTATATTTTAGCATTTTCAAAATTCTTTAAAATAAGCTTCACAAAAATATCAAACACTATTTGAATAACGAAAATATACAAGGCGTTCCATTAAAAAAAATACTTTTTTAACATACACTGTATGTACAGAGTGCTGCAATTTGGAGTGTTTCAACAGGAAAAACGTACTTCTAGACCAGATAGAGGAAAATTGACTTAGATGTCATGGGATCGATTTTCGAGAAACGTCGATTGTCAAGAACCGTATCGCGAAAAATGGCTATACGTTTTTTATTTATCAATTTTTTTCATTTCTGTAAAAACATTATGGAGACACTTTTTTGAGCACAATCCAGTGGCGGACTCGATTTTTTCCGATATCGCTCCGATTTCGAGATATCGACCAAATTCCGATATTTTCAAATGAAACTCCCTATATATTAATAGCTCATTGGATAGCTCTGTTTTTGCTGATTTTAATGATATAAAGTTCGATAGGTTTATCTCTTATAGTTTTCGAGAAAAAAAATTATATTTGTTTTTGTCGTAAGGACCAATGTGTTAGAAAAGGATTTTATATGTGTAAGGAAAGTGAGAAAGGTCTCTTTCTAACACATTGTTTCTTATGACTGAAACAGATATAATTTTTTTTCTGGAAAACTGTTAAGAGATAAACCTATCGAACTTTATATCATTGAAATCAGCAAAAACAGAGCTATCCAATGAGCTATTAAAATAAAGGATGTTTCATTTGAAAATATCGGAATTTGGTCGAGATCTCGAAATCGGAGCGATATAGAAAAAAACCGAGTCCGCCACTGGATTGTGCTCAAAAAAGTGTCTCCATAATGTTTTTACAGAAATGAAAAAAATTGATAAATAAAAAACTTAAAGCCATTTTTCATAATAGGGGAAAATCGAAAATCGCCCTGTATTAATGGTACCATTGAAGATATCGCGATACGGTTTTTGACAATCGACGTTTCTCGAAAATCGATCCCATGACTTCTAAGTCAATTTTCCTCTATCTGGTCGGGAAGTGTGTTTTTCCTGTCAAAACACTCCAAATTGCAGCACCCTGTACAGGGTGTCCCATTGAAGATGGGAATTGGGGTTATCTGCTAAACTCGCAGAGATATATTTTTTTTGATTTCACATTCCCCCCCACATTGATTTCACATTCCCATTTCACATTTCACATTTTTTATGACAAATCGAATGCCGTAAAGCGCAGGTCTCTATCTTGTTTCGTTTCGGAGATACAGGGTGAAACTTAGAATGTTCACTTTTCGAGGGTAGTCATTATCTAGCGGATGAAAAAAGATATCAAAAAGGTGAAAATTGTATCTGACGCAGTTTTTTACGTAGATTGCATTGGCGTACTGGAATTTTTTTTCCGAGATACCGTTCAAATAAAAATCTACCTCTATGAGTTTAGCAGATAGCCCCAATTCCCATCTCCAATGGGACACCCTGTACAGGGTGTCCCAAATTGGGTGACCATTGAGATATCGGAAATTATTAGAGATCCGAGGTTGGTTAAATTATGGCAAAATTGCGCAACTTTATGGCCAATATAATGCCGCTTTGAAATTTTAAAAATTCCAAATACTTGATGTCGCTACCAAATTTCAGATTCGACGTTTCGTTTTTGGGCGGCCATCATCACCTTTATTTTTTCAAATACGGACCTAGATTTTTTATTTCAGATTTCAAGAGCTTCTGATGTCTCAAAACCTACGACGTATCGCATTTATTCGAAAAATAGTATATTAAAGTATAAGTGGATATTACTTGCGCGTGTTTTAAAGACCAGTTATCCACGAATACTTTACACTATTTTTTTTTATTGGTATACGTTCAAATCATAAATTACTAATAATTGTAGAATGCTAAATTCGTGCTTGACATTTGTTACATTTTATTTGACGTTATCTACAAGTACCTAACCTACAGCTGACAAATCAATAAATAAAAAATTGACATTTAAACCTTTCTCGGGTTGTTGGTTGTTGATGTTGTCATTGGTAACTTTAAAACACGCGCGTTTTTGAATGTTGGATAAAAAAAAAATGTTTCACTTTCTAGTAATTTCTTACCAAAATTCTCTTTTCTGTCTCTCTCTAATACATTTAGTTCCTATGGAAAGTGCCAATAATAATAATTCGTTTTGACACTCGATCAATCAAGTCTATGCAATCAAGTACCAGTATCAAGAAAAATTTTGCTCCGTGTTTTTTTGTTTTTTTCGATGGAAATGTTGGTCAAAATTATTTGATATTTGCACAAGTAATAAATCTCACCTGGCTTGATTAATTTATTGAGTATTTGTCTGTTGTAAAAGTGAAGTTTGTGAATAGTTCGAGTTTCAAGTGAAAACAATGGAGAACAATAGGTAAAATAGATAAACAAATTCCAAGAATAACGACAGTTTTTTGGCCAGTGCACCATGAACTACGATTAGGCTGATAATAAATTTTATTAGTCCAGTAAAAATAGCGTGTTGTGTACTTAACGAGGCGATATTTTAATACAATTTCAACTTCGTTCAAAATCGTCATAGATAACTGTATTTTTGTTTTATTTTTTATTTGCAAAATGGCTTCACATTGTGAAGCCATGTTTAAGTCCCAATGTTAAAGGAGGGGAAGTGTTTGGCGTGCGTTCTCGTTCTTCACAGAGTTGTATTATTTCACTGTAATAGCTGTAGATCGTCATTTGATGAAATTGATTATCTCTCGAAAAAATTCTTTGAATAAAAGGTTGAACTTGACCAAAAAAGTAATAATTATATTGATACACTGGAGAACGAGATAGAGGATCTTAAGAGTGCTTTAAAACAGGAAATTGAACGACCTGTACATTCAAATCAAATGAAGGACAATCACATTGCGTTCTACATTCAATAGAACGCAAAACAATTTTCATTGATCAGGAAATACTTGAAGCAGAACAAAACTATGAAGCTACCCTTCGTGTGCAAAAACTTGAGCTGACTTGTCTGAACAGGGAACTTCTTGAAGTGCTTGAGAAAAATAATAAAGTAACTGACGAATTAAATTCACAAGTGGTAAAATCGGCTACCTAGAAAAAGAACTCTTCGACCTTAGAGTCACAAATAAGACTTTAAATGACAATTTCTTATCTCTGTCCAAAGAAAATGGCACATTTGTTTCAGAGTTGATAAGTACCAAAAAGAATTTGAACTAGCATAAATCTAAGGTGATCTGTTTAGACATAGAAACTCAGACTGACAAAATTTATGGTAGCAAGGCTGCAATCAGGAATGAGGACATTAATATGCAGAATGAAAATAAAAATAAAATTCTTCTGCTCTCGGATCAAATGGGTAGGGGATTGGCATCTAAACTGAATGAGAATCTGAATAACTCAAAATTTGCTGTTGAGAATATTATTAAGCCATCTGCTGCTTTCGATGCCGTCGTGGAAAATGTGGATTGTTTATCACAGAACTTTGGCGAGAAGGACTATATTATTATATTTGCAGGTTACAATGACTTTCTAAACTTCAAAAAGCCCAATTTGTCACATATCAAGGAAACTATTAAACTAATAATTCACACTAATGTCATAATCTTATCCCCACCTATATGTTTTAAATGTCCAAATATGTGTTATAATTTTAATTCACAGTTAAGTAAGTTAGTTTTTAATTTTGACAAGTTTACATCAAACAAGTTATTTTATGTGGACTCTTGTAATAGTCTAGGAAACAAATTTTCAAATCTTCGTCTATCTCAATTGACTGTTACTATTATAGATTCTAATAAATGCAAACCTCTTGTCTACGTAAAGCTGGATGAAAATATATGTGAAACTAAATCAGATACTGGAAATACTCATAGTTCTTTCTAAATCAGTATTGACTCATCTATTAATGATTAATGACTCTTATAGTCCAGTGCGTAGCGATTCTTCTGCTAGAGTTCTATCGCATAGTTTCGGTAATACGCATAATACAAATTTTCATCGAATTTTAGAGGGGCGCACCTTACCTTGATGTATTTGAACATTCAATCTATTAGACCCAAGGTAGATGAGTTATCAATTTTGTTGAGCACTTATGGTCACCCAAGCATAGTGTTATTGTGTGAGCACTGGCTTAAAGTTGATGAGCCTATTTGTGTTCTTGCTCAGTAGTTACTGTAGATCGGTGTTTCAGAATGGAGGTACATTGATTCTTGTAAACAATAATTTTTTAAACAAATTCATAAAAATTGATAAATATGATCAGCTTTTGGAAGAAAAAATCTTCGAATTTTCGTTGGTATATCGCTCAGGTTGGAATTTCTATATTTTGTGTTTGTACAGAGCCCCACCAGGCGATAAGGATTAATTTTTGTCAAAAGCTGAAACACTATTGTCTCAGCTGCCTCTTAAGTCTAGAATCCTGCTGTTTGGGGACTTGAATTTGAATTTCCTGGATGTATCTGATAGACATGTTCGAGGGCTGAGTGGCCTCTTGCAGAGTTTTGGTCTAAATATGTTCGTTGAAGCTCCTACTAGAATAACTTCGCACTCAGCTACCTTATTGGAGTATTTATGTTGTAACTTGCCCCAGAGTGACGTGGAATGCCAGG